GAGGGGAATTCAGCCCCTCCCCCTGTCACGGCAGAGAGCCGTGACAGGATCGAGAGGTGAGCGAACGCCGGTATGTGTTCGCTCACCTCCCGATCTACTGAGCCGACCTGTGACAATCTCATTGTCACAGGTTGGCTAGAACTATGAGGGGAGTGAAAAGCACTGACCTCATAGTTCTCCTTTAACAAGAATTAATAACAAATGGTAATAATATTGAAAGAAAGGTCACTTAATGAAACAAGTACACTGGTGATAGAGGTCTACAGTATATGCAACAACCAGGGCAAGGGTATAAAGGGAGTATCATAGTCCAATTTAAGAACCAAAATATAACAAATGGCATTGAGTAACATGGTCCATAATAAAGAAAATAATAGAGAATAATAAAGAGAGAATAGTTAGGTGAAGAAAGAGGATTTTCCCGGCAAAGAGTAGAGAGGGGAAAAAAAGGGGTGAAGAGGGAGTAAGGTTAAAGTTTCCACCTACCCCCTCTGCATTAAGGTCCCAACCGCTATGACTGTCCTAAAGGGTCAATAGTGGATCATAAATTCCCTTTGGAGATGCATATTCTATCCAAGGTGACTATACTTTTAAAAATGTATTAAGGGAGTCATGTAAAATAGCAGTCATCTTTTCAATGATCATCATACCCGTCACCCTTTGGAGCACTTCATGATAGTTGAGTGAGAACGCTGCCACACCCTCAATATTGTTGGCTTGGTAGATCCAAATATGAAGGATACCGTTTTTTCTTTGGTTTTATTAAAGACAGCAAATGGTTTATATACAGTAAGGCCTCCCATGGATCCTTGTGCAGATTTCCGTGTAACAGAGTTCTAATTAAATGATAAAAACGTATACATAGTCTTTGCCCTTTGGGTATGTCCACCATTTAGGATACATTGTACCCTGATGTGAACATTCCTGAAAGCAGGACTGGTTATAAGGTTATACATTTTGCAATGCGAGAAAAGGTGAGATACCAACGACATATAACTTTATATGAATTCTCAAGAACCAGAACATTAGAGCGTTTTGAGACATTGTAACAGATATTGTTTCAGTCTTTCATAGAATGGGAAGTACCCGGATCCCCCTTCCACTTCCACAGGTCTTCAGGGAGGTATATATAATTGAGGCTTCTTACGCAGAGGTCTCGGTCTAAAACTAATTATAAAAATAATTTTATTTTATTTCATGTAGTTTTATATTTATTTTGTAGCCCCTGAGAAAGCGGGATGTGTTTTGCCCCTGAAACGTTTTGGCTGTTTTGTCAACTTGGATCGAATTGTGAACAGTAAGCTTTGTATGGACTCTGATACGCGTTTCGTTTGATGCCCATCTTTGTTGATACACTTTTTTCAGTCTTCCTGGTATTCTTTGAGAGAATCCTGGAGTATTGGCGCTACCTATCCAGAGCTAGTAAGCAGAGACAACCTCTTTGATTCTATTTGTTTCCGAACTTTGGGCTTGTGTTTGATGACCTCAGTTTGATACACTTCTGAGATCATTCAGAATTCACTGACAAGTGACAAGCGCATTTGACCTGCAGGTAACTTCCTCTCTGACTTGCTTCAAGCGGGTTTTTTCACTCCCATAGTATGATACTGCAAACCCTATTTTAAGAAACAAAAGTTTGTTGACACGGGCTTGACAACAGAACTACGGGTAACATTTTTATTAACCCTTGGAGTAGGGCTACCCCGCACTGTTTTTGTCTAGGCTCAAAAATAACAAAGCCCCCCCCCTCTGAGACGTCTGGCTGTGATAGCGATCCTCCAGCCTATCTCCTCCTCCATACTCGATGGTATGTCTATTGGCATCCTCTCGTCCTATACACAGTGTGTAGAACATGATGACTCAAGGACTTAGACTGCTGCAGGGGAGGGGGAGAGGGGTTCCAGGGACAGGTCTAAGAGCAAGCCGTCTCCAAAGATCGGTTAAGTATAACTTTTTTTTATTTTTGAACCTAGACAAAAATGAGCACTTAACCCTTGCAGTGTGGGGATAGCCCCACTGCAAGAGTCAATACAAACTTTACCCAGAGCTCTGTTTTCAGAGAAGTGTTTGAACCTTTGAATTTGAATTACTGTTTATATGCATGTTAGGGAGATTTACCCTATTTGTCCTTATGATCATTGTCACTGCGACTAAATGTGAGGGGGAAATCCAAAATGTTGAGTTGTCACCGTAAGAGGAATATAAAGGAATAGAGAGACTCTCTTTTAATGGGGACACTTGTTCCAGTGACAGCTGTAGAAGAGCAGATTTTCCTCTTACCGCTTGTTGTGTCAACAGGACGTCTCTACAATGAAAAGTAAAATCCTACCTTGAAGTGGGTCCCCCTCTGTACTGCAAGGGTTAAATTCATCTTTCTGCCTAGGGTACCAGGAAAAAGTACTTTTATTTACCAGATCCCGCTCCCCTAGCAGCCTGCACGCTTCTTTTCTCCCTGATGATCTGGGTTCAGGGCAGTCCCTCTGTGTCCTCACATACAATGACCATTCTACTTGACAACGTCAGAGTGACTTTGACTGCCAGAGCTCCTTAGGGTACCAATAAACATTACAATCGTTATACAATCAACTTTAGATTTACCAAAACTACCTAATCCAGTCAACCTGTATCCAATCAGGCAGACCCTTGCACTACAATGTTGTCGGTAGATTAAAAGGCGATTGTACAATCAGATTGTAATGTGTGTGGTGTGAGCTTAAGGGAAGGAGCTGTGAGACCTGGCCGCACAGCATGGAGTGTGGGATTAGGAAAAAGAAAAGTCCTTTTTTAATGGTATCCTAAATACCTAATGGTATCTTAAACATACATTTAACCCTTGCAAAGCAGAGGGGCCCCCAGGGAGGCTTTTTCTTCTCCCAGGAGTGCAGCTTCAATCATTCCAAACTCTAGCTAAAGTGAAAAAAAGTTTTGAATTTAAAGCTAAACTCCGACACAAAACCTTTTGTTTAACTTTAGTCTCCAATAGTCACAAAGGATAAAATTCCACTTAGTGGGCTCAAAAATGCCTTTGCAAAACCCAGATATTACCTTGTAAATGGAGCATTGACATCATCACTGTGCTGTATATAGCATGTGCAGACAGCAGAGTTGTGGGAGGAGTCCCGCAGGCTCCACCCAATACAAGCTGCCTGCTAAAAACTATAGGAGGGGCAGAAACAAGACCAGGCATCCTGCATAAGGAGACAGAGGAGCGGTGACCGGTCCTTATTACAGAGGGCTCCTGGACAGAGGCAACGTTTTACACTGGATTTCTGTACAAACTGTAAAAAATACATAAAATATACCAACATTCTAAAAGAAATACACATGCCTATTGTAATAAGACATTATGTTCTTATATCAGAGCTCAACTTTAAAGGGGAAGTATTGGGAGAGTAAAATGTGCTCTTCCCAATACTTAGAGGCGACATGTCAGCATGCCGGCTCTATATACTGAGAGCTGAGCGATGAGTACGCTCATGGTCTTCTCCCTGCAGAGAGCGGTCACTGTCAGAGGGATTCCCCCCTCCCCTCTCTCTATTGCTCCAGTGCTTATTGGAGGAACAGACAGCTGGAGGGGGCGGGCACAGCTGGCTGTGGCTCTAGAGAGGTAGAGCCAGCTGTCAATCAGGCAATGGGGTGGATGCCGACACGATACTGTTGGGATTTGTCCTTGCTTCAGCATGGTGTGGTCAGTAAATAGTGGGCAGTAGCTGGTTGTTCAGTATCTGGAAGTCCCATTAAGGAAGCCGCGCGGCTCGGCTTCCACCAAGTGACGAGGGAGCGTGGAGCTGGCTTCCCAGCCAATCAGGAAGCCGGTCAGCATGTAATGCCTTGCCGCCCAGCTTCCTGATACCAGAAGTTCTGGTATCGGGATAAGTATCGGGAGCATTTGGCCGAGTAATCGCCCAAATACTCGATATCGGCACCAATACTAGTATCGCTATCAGTGCATCCCTAATCACAGGAGTATATTAGTAAATGTACTCCTTTGACCCAAAAAAGGACTAAAGCCTCCCACCCCCAGAAAAAGGGTTTGGCTATAGCTCTCTTTTAAAGGATAAGTATTAATTTTAGGATAAGGTGATAAGGGTTTGGGGATATAGGTAGTCCTAAAAATGAGGGCATTCCCAGAGACAAGCCTGACATCCTTGCAATATATGTCCCTTGAGATCCCTAGCCTTGGACATAAATGGCTGTGTCATGCAATCCTTCTCTTCCTCCTGCCAGGATCAATCCAGATAATTTTCTCCTACCTATTGACAAGCATCCCTGAAAATGAAATAAACAAATCAGCAGAGTGTCAGGTCTGCAGCCAGCAGCAGTGATCTAGAACAAGCAGCCTATGATCAGAAGAGTGCCTCTGGAACCCATCAGAACCCCCTGGCTGCCCTGTGCAAGCTGTAACCCCATCATCAGCCAGCAATAAAACTTTTGCCACCAAATCATCTCCATCCTTTGTCTTGAGCAGGCAGAAACAATGGCAGAACGTGAGGTCTGTGCAGAGCCAGGTGCTTTTTGTTGGCAGCTCGCTTGCTAATGACTTGGGCTCTCACCCAGCAGCTGCCTTGCTGCCTCCTTTGTATGGGCCATTGTTGAAGCACGCCCCTTGTTAATGCACATGCTGCCCGGGGCAGACCCTGGGAACACATTGAGCTGGAGGAGCTGACACTGTGCTGGGGGAAGCTTTGCATCTGCCTGGCCCCAGTCATTGTGAGCCTGCTGCTCTGCCATTGGCTGCCTGTCTTGCTGGGTAATAGGTTCAGCACAGACACTGCTCTCCCATCTGTCCCACTCTTTATTGTTCACCCTGCCTGGCAGCCTGCAGCTTGTGTTAAGGACTTTGCTGCTACAAACTGCTCCAAAGAAGCCAATGTCTGTGTGTTCCCCAGCTAAAGTAAGTACAGCTTCCTGTGGCTGTGATGGCTGCCTTTGCTGTGTGCATTACACTGAACTTGCTACATTGTTGCACTGTTTATTTTGCATTGTGTGCTGTATGTAACCTGTACATAGAGATGAGATGCAGCACATAGAGCAGGTGTTTTGCTGTACAGGGGGTTGCTGCAGCTGAAAGGACCCAGTGACAGTGTTTCTTCTTATCTGGCACAAGGTTGTTTTTGGTGACGCTGTACAAGGACTGTGCTCTCCAGATGTGGCATGCTGGCAGCGGATACAGATAGCAGGCACAGATGCTGCAGAGGGTAAATCTGAAGGGGTGTAAGAGTCTGTAAGTCCATGCTTTGATTGTCAGCTCTTTGGGCAGAATAAACATCCTGCTTAATTCCAGGGAATGTAATTGCCATAGGGGTTCAAGAAGAATTGATGGAGACAATTGAACCATAAGGTGTTTGTTTTTTTTTGCCTTCCTCTGGACCAACTGTGGGGGACTGTTGGCATAAGGTTCTGTACATGGAGGATTTCTATTTCCTATTGATTTTAGTCAATGGACTTGTAACTATGAACTGCTGCAAAATAAAACGAGATGTCGCCCCTCCAGCACCCTGATTTGATCTCTCATTCCATTGTAACAAGAAATCCGGTTGCTCAACCGTTGTGCAGAATCTTTGGAGATAATGTTCCTTCTGTAGTGTGAGATGTCTGGTTTGATCTTTCATCCTCAAGGACATTGTTGCTGTAGAAAACAAATCAACTTTGCTTCATTTTTTTTACAATTGTTCCTCTATTATTGGCTGAAATGTTTTTTAGACAATTGTACTTCTTACGTGTCATGTTATCTATAACAGAGATGTTATGTGGAATAGAGCCAGAAGTATTTATTTTATACATACGTGTCTCTATGTACAGATATTGTTTGTTCCCAAAAAAATACACCAAAAAATCCACACTAAACTATGGAAATGAGTGCTGTGGATGCTGTGTGCAGGCTGCAAGTTCCTGACTTGTGCTCTGTGTCCAGCTGTGCATAAAGTCTGTAGGTAGCCATGTATACTGTATGTTGTGAGGGGGTTGTAGAAGGCGGTTGAGGGGCAGGGGGTCTGTATGTGATATCTATTGTAAAGACCTGCTCTCTATTCTGCGCTTAGGCGGCACGCCTCACTCAAGAGGGTCTTTGTGGAGCTGGACTTGTAGGGGGGCAGGTGCACGAAAGGGTTAAATTAAAGGCCTCACCCTTGCCACATGCCCTATTATTTGAACATATGCATTAGGCTATTGAAAGTTTTCAGGAGATGGGCAGGCCACCAGTTGCCGGTCTCCTGCAGCTCCAGTAGACATCTGTTGCCCTAGAGAGTATTAACCAATCTGTTCAATGGGACATATTTTCTTTGTAAGAGGGAGGTGAGCAGACAACAGCGCTGGCTGAAACACAATGGTAATTAAATACACAGAAACCAGGCCCACAGCTTTTTATTACATATTCATTCTTTTTTCCAGCATTGTCTCTGAACATTGGAGAAATGCTGTCATGCTCACAACCTAAATGTATTCACAGTAATGAAAATGACAGAAAGGTATTGGCCTGTTCATTTTTTATCGAAGAGTGTGTGTAGTTTTATTAGAACATATAAGAATACTTGTGGGGACATACACACATATACATCAAGAACATGCAAGAACACACAACACATATATCCATACATGCGTTATATAATAATAATTATTATAAATATAATTTTATCTGAATTTTCTTGTTATCATTTGCACTAAACAGCCCTAAATAAAAGCCACACAGGTCTAGTGCAAAGTCTAAACCAGTGTTTCTCAACCATTTGCAGTCACAGCGTCCTTTAAAAGTATGCAAACCAAGGCACCCAGCCTAAAATGTAAAAACCATAAAGAATTACGTGGTCCCTCTAAAATCTATAAAAAAAAACAAAAGATATGGGTCTGGTATAGATTGTAAGAAGGGGGGACCCTCCGACAAAAAAACACAAAAAAAGTGTGATCACCCTTCACATCAGAGTCCCCTTTACATAACAGCCCCCCCTTCACATCAGAGTCCCCTTTACATCACAGCCTCCCCTTCACATCAGAGTCCCCATTACATCAGAGCCCCCCCTTCACATCAGAGTCCCCTTAACATTACACCCCCTTTCACATCAAGAGCCCCCTTCACAGCAGAGTCCCCTTAACATTAGAACCCCCCCCTTTCACATCAAAAGCCCCCCCTTCACATCAGCGTTCCCTTAACATTACAACTCCCCTTTCACATCAGTGTCCTCTTAACATTACACCCCCGTTTCACATCAAAAGCCTCCCTATTGCACATGGTATGACAGTGGGAAATTTTTGAGGCCCCCCAGAGGAAGCCAGAAGGCACGCGTGGGTACCACAGCACCCTGGTTGAGAAAGGCTGGTCTAAACAGATCCCCTCATATCTCATACAGAACCTTCAAACATTCAACACTTTAAAGTAAGCACGTCACAAATCTGCGCAATACAGAGCATTTCAATAAAGTAGATCTAAATCCAATCACTAAAATACTCTCATATTATCATGTCAAGGAGTTGTAAAGGCCCAGTATATACTATTCTGTTATAACATCAGCATTGTAACAGGAATACATACTAGAATTGTTATTTGATCATGCAAAATCCCTTTTATGTAGTAAGTGCTGCCTTCCCTGTGCCCATCACTTTTAACAACATCCTGGATTCCCAGTGTGCTTTGCGTCTCTTTCTGTGCCACTTGATGTGATGCAATCTCCATTTCTCAAGACTACATATCCAATCATGCAATGCTTCCAGCAAGTAATAATAATGTTACATTGTTCAGGGTTTCATTTGTAGTTCAGAAACCAGGCTCTGCGAGAGTTGTGACACAAGGATGTGCGTATTCACAGGGAGTGAAATTGTGTAAGATCAGTGAGAAAGAACATACTATTGGCATCTTCAATAAGTAAGCTTGCAAACTTCTAGATTGATATGGTCATTGGGAGTGGGCCAGAATGTATGGAAATTCATGATAGAAATACTTATTTATGTCTCGTTTTTGGACCATAGACACCCTTACGTTTTAATGTAATTCCAAAAGTTGTTTTCATTTTTTTTTTTTTTTTAATCTTCAGCTTTCATTTAAATAATGTCATGATCTTCCCATGAAGATCCTTGTTCAGGTTCATCCTGTTATGGGGTGACAACTGTCTCCCAACTGTGCTTCCACGTTGTCCCATTGTCACACATGACCACATATTGTGTAGGCATGGTCCACCAATGTCACTTACAGGAAGCCAGCCCGAGGCAATGATGTGCAACTAATGCTGGAATTAGTGAATGTAGACAGGAAGTGCTTGGAAAGGCTTTAAGAACCACATACTGTAAGCAGAGGATGCCTTTTTTTTCAATCTGAATGTGTAAACAACCCAAAGGTCCAAAGATTGAGGCATGTGAGTCATATGCTAATATCTATATGTCTTTTAAAAGTCTATCTTGGCCCCTGGGTATGATGGATGGCCCCACTAACCAACCAGGAGGCCCAGTAGGCAGGTTCACCATTTATAGGAAAATTTAGGATTTGCATATACCTTTAGCTATCTATAGCTCTGCGTTTGTCAATGATTTGCAGTTTTAGCTCAAGGTAACCTCTGCCTATCAATGTCTTCATCTTATTTGTGCTCAGTTTGAAAAAGAAAAAGCACTTTTAACGTTATCTCAATGAATACGATTTGTTAAACCCAGTGTGTGTTGCTGTAGTGCTCATCTTTGATCAAGAGCTGCCTCCCGCAGTGTTGCTTTTTCACCACAAGATGTTGCCAATCTTTTGGATTTGAATGGCATCTGGGGTCACTCAACCTTGAAGACTGAGGAAAGACTGTAAGTGCAGGGCATCATGGCCCAACCTGCAGATCACTGCACTCACAGTGTATAGAGTCAGAGCAGCAATGATGTCAACATGCCAACGCTGCTTTGCTTCATCCAGGGCTGCCCACTGCCAGGAGAAAAACAAAAATAAAGAGTTGAACCGCAGTGTAGTCTACCAAGCGTTCTGGGAACTGACTGATCTCTTTGACCGAGCAGAATTACATATTCAGTTTGACAGGTAAAGAGGTTCCATTTTATATTTCACTTATATGTTTCATGGTTTGCCTAAAGTTTGGCCAAAATCCTGTCTGGTGAAACCATCAGCAGCAGGACAAGAAGTAAGAAGAAAGTTCTCCAATGGAGCCCTGGATGGCTGTAAATCCAGATAGGAGTTCTAACCCTTCCCTATGCTACTCAAAACTCAAAAACGTTTTGCCTGGACATACACTTCCATGCCTACCTCATGAAAGAAGAAGAACATGGGGACAAAATGTGAACACGCAGCTGGATACTAAGGTAAAGCTGCAGCCATGCTTGGGTATCCGACCTCATGGGACCAGGAACAGTTTGATGCTTTACATCGCCTGTACAATAAGCCATAGCTTCTGGTGGCTACAAACATCAGGCGTCCATTATGTCAACAAACTCATGTCTATGGACACTTTCTGACAGCAACAGCCAAGAGATCTCAAAGGAAATAGTGGGAATAAAAACTTTCACCAAAAAAGTTTCCCCCTGAGATACGTGCTTGGGTTGTCTGTGTATGTCGCCCTTATTGTTCCTCATACTCAACAGTTTCTTTTTTTCTGTGTGTGAAGCTGGGCTGAAGACATCTTTGGACACAGAGACACAATCTGATCATCCTCGGTTGTCTATAGCCAGTGATATTTCTATTGCAGAGAAATGGTCTCTATGGATCTGTGTTGCCAGGCCAAAATGTGTTTTCTCTTTTTACAGACAGCAATCTAAAAATCTGCAGGTAGCTCAAACTATATATGAACATGCTGCAATCACATCGAGGTCACGGGCTTCATATTTATCTCGTTTGCAACAATGATGTTGTAATGGTAACAAGTTTTGGATTATGTGACATGAGACTTAAAGCAACCCTGTCACTCCTATCCCAGCAATAAAGGG